GTAGAATCTTTTTTCATGTCAAAAAAATAAAACCCTGCCCTCATAAAATTGCTTTGGGACTCAACTTGCATTGCTACTTAGAAATAAGTCAATACATCAAGACAAGAAAAATAAGTCAAATGTGTATACCTACTGGTGGACCATATTTTTCACTGATTTATATAATTATAGTTATTACAGTCTAACTGTGGCATGTAGTATAATTTTTTTTTTTTTTTTTCCAGTACTGGGGATAGAACTTGGGACCTTGTGCTTGCCAGGCAGGCACTTACACCACTGAGCTGTATCCCAAGCCCTAATTTTTTTATGCCTGAAGTTTTTAAAAAAATTTTCACCGCTACTTTCTTGCTTTTAAAATCATTTCTTGGTCACGGTTAGCTTCAAAATTCAATAAACTCAAGTACTATATTAAATACCTAGAATTAAGCAGTTAGATTCTAAGGAGTTTATAATTTTAGGAAAAAGACATGTACTCAAAAGATAGTAATATAATATGGCTGTTTTTTATTATAGTTATATAAAATGCTACTGCCACACAGATAAGGGAATAGGGGAGAGGCAGGAAAAGAAGAAACTTCAAAGAAGGTAGACCTAGGAAATGAGTAATATTCACTGGGCACATGATAGAGGAGAAATATTATCTTAAAAAGCAAAGAGAGGGGGCTGGGGAGATGGCTCAGTAGAATAAGCACTTCCTTGGCAAGCACAAGGGCCTGAATTCAATCCCCAGTTCTGCCATAAATAAATAAATAAATAAATAAATAAATAAATAAATAGCAAAGAAAATAACCTAAATTAAAGGACCACCCAGTGCTTACAAGATATTGGAGCTTTTTGATAGGACTAGAGGTAACTGAACCTAGTACATAGTTTTAGAAGAAAAAAGATTGATTGGGTCATATTGTGAAGGTCCTAGAAGTTAGCTTAATGTCATGTTTTATTGCTTTCCCCCATTCCTGACTTTAATATAACAGCTTTTCTAATCTAATATTCACATTTAGTTGTTACTATCATTTTGGTTCTCTATGATTTTTCTTTGACTTCTTTCACTACTATACTTGCTATGTCCTATCCATTTTTTGCTTTATTATGGCTTATATTTCTGTTGGCCATTTTAAGTAGTTTTAGAACTTTGCCATACCTAGGACTTCACTTCTTGCCTGTTTCAATATTCAAATTTGCATTATACGTTAACTGAAATAGTTCTCTTGTACCTGTATTAGTCAGCTTTCCCTTTGCTGGACCTAATACTCAATATCCACAACCTAAAGGTGGAGAAGTTTGATTTCACTCATAGTTTCAGGGCATACTGTCCATAGAAAGCTGGCTCTAAGGCAGAAACATGGCAAATGAACGCAACAGAGCAAAGATGAGTAGTTCATGGTAGCCAGGAAGCAGCAGGTGAGGGGAACAGTGCCAGAGAGGCAAGGAGACAGACCAGATAGAGACCTCAAGGCCAGGCCTTTGTGGCCTCACGTGCATCAGAAGTGTGCCTTACTGGGTGATCCTAGGTTAGTCATGTTGACAAATTTAAGGTTAACCATTTTCTACTCCTTATCACTTGACATCCAAATTCAGCTCCCTAACCTTTTGGAGCTATTATCACAGTTTATATGATAGATACAAACTCTTGTTATATACTGTTAAGGGGTAACACCTGACCCATGACTGCCACAGAGTTAAATTTTTTTGGTGGAACTAGGGATTGAACGCAGACCCTTGCGCTTGCCAAGGAAGCACTTATTCCACTGAGCCATCTCCCATAATATCAAGTTCTTAAGTCTTATGTGACCTAACATGGTACAACTGTCTTGTGTGTAACCAAAAATATAAAAAAATCCCTTCTGAAAGTTTTAACATCCCTAACGTTGCTCGGAAAAAAGCGTAAGTCAGAGTCTTCTGAAACTCAAGGGAAACACTTAGCTGTGAACCTCTTTAAAAGTCAGATACAAGTTCTATAATCCCTGGACACAATGGCACAGGTTATCATTTCCATTTCAAAAGAGAGGAAAAAGGGAACAGATAGGAATAGTATCAAAAAAAGACTAAAATAGGAGGACAAACATTAGGTCCAGTAGATCCGCATCTGTTATCCAGGGCACATGGAAATAAGAATGCCAGAGGACTTGGCCACCGTATCCCTTTGGCTCTGCTCATGTTCCAGGCTCCAGGATCTTCACTGTACCATTTGCTTCAATCACAGCTGTACTCACTGAACTCTCAGGGGCATGAAATGCAGGTGAGATATATATATAAGACCTCGCAGTTCTTATATTCTGCCTGCCAGTAAAATAACCCTCATGTGGATGATGTCAGCATTTGCAGTCAGCATGAGCAGTGGCTGGGTCTCTTAGGACCCTGGCCGCAGCATTCCTGAATACTTGGATGATTGGAGTAGAGTGAAATGAACCCTTGGAAAACCAATTCCTTGGCTCTCTTAGCAGGTGTCTTAGGGCCTCTCTTCTCAAATGAAATGTTTATACATTTCCATCCTTGAGTCTTCAAGGGGTAGGTTCTTGCAGATTTTTGAGATGTCCTCAACACAATCTTTTCATTCCCTATACAAGAAGAAAGTACTTGGTTTCTTTGTAATGTTGCTAATTTCTTCAGCAACCATACTCTTTGGACCGCGATTTGCACATGATTCCTTTTGGCTCCAAATTTGTTTTTCAGATTTTTATATTCTACTTTTTTACCCCCAGTTTTTACTACAAATCTGGCTAAAAGCAGCCAGCAGGATCCATTTCACACCCTGAACATAGAGCTACTTGAAATTTGACCCACTGCCTTTAATGTGAGTCTTAAAGTCCCAGAGTGTGGACAAAACTTAGATTTTCTACATGAGAGCACCACACGTGACCTCTCGTCCATCTGCCAATAGAGTCCTCTTCCTTGGCCTTCGTCATTTACATTCTGTCAGCGTTCTTTCTTTCTGAGCTCTAACCAGAGTGAAGCACCAGACTCTATAGCATGCTAAGATTTCTCTAGTGCACAGCTCCAGACCTTTATAAATTCCTCCTGCAGACCAGTTCCAGAAGCTTCTAAACCACACAGGTACAACAGCAACCTTCTCTAGCAGGAATTTTCTGATGGCAAACTTCATCATTGCTAAACAAATTGCCCAGTGCCCACAGCTTAAAGAAAGTGAGGTTTAATTTGGCCCGTGATTTCCAAGGACTCAATCCATAATCAGCTGGCCCTAAGGAAAAAACCTCATGGCAGACAGGCATGGCAGAGAAGAGATGCTTAGTTCAAGGTGGGCAGAGAAATAGTGCCAGAGAAGAAGGGACCAAATACTATAGACCTCAAGGTCACATCTCCATCACAGACATAGCCAAGAGTGTGCTTCACCAACCCTTGGGAGATCCCAGGCCAGTCGTGGTGACACAGTTAAGATTAACCATCACAGTTCCTATATCTAGAAGTCTGGAGTGCTGGGGATTTTATAAGAGAAACAGTCTGCTTCGTTATAGCCTTACCAAGATTTTAGTGGTAAGAAAATGTTATTGTTGTCTATGCTACTGAGTGAAACAAAGGGGGAGAAGAATATAGTGTATTACCTTTTGTGTTAGAAAAGGGAAGAATGCTAAAATATACATTCTGTTTGCTTATATTTGCAAACTGGAAATACAGAATTAATAAATGCCTATTGGGGCAGGTAGAATTGAGGTGGAAAGAGCTGTGTATACCTTTTCATGTTGTTTTTTGAACTATCTTGAGTACTTTACCTATAAAACTTGACCTAAGTGCCACTGCAGGGGTAGAATTAAGAGTACCCTGATTTCCTGTCATCCATGTGCGAAATCACCCATCAGTCCACTGTTTGAACATCTGTACTCCTGTGTGCTTTGGTACACTTTGTTTGACTGAAATGAACTACATCTTTGTTTGTTTCACTAAAATAAACTACATCGTTTTCATAATCTATCACTTCCTCCATAATTATTTAATTATGTGATCTTAGCATAATATATTTACATTTTATGTTATTGCTATATACCCAGATTCATGTCATGAATGGTTTCTATTCCCCCTTTAATTGTTAATATCTTCAAGTTAGAAGAAATGCATTTTCTGTAGTATCAAATATAATTTGGTAGATATTGGAAATCTTTTATTTTCTCTGGAGCAGTGATAGGAAAGCTTTCAGAGCTTTCACTGATGACAGCTAGCCCACTGCAGCATGCGTACCAAAGGTCACCAGTATCGCTGTAGAAGATTCTGATACATTACTTCATTTAGATAATTTTAATCAACAGAGTTTTGCATTAGAAAAGATTTTTTTTAAGTAGTGGCAACATTTATTTGAAAAAGTAAAAGTGAACAGTGAAAAAGAAACTGGCTCTGCAGAGTGAGTTCAGCCAAACAAAAGAGGAAAAAACAAGATTAAAGTACATCCTGGAGGAAGGGGTGGGCTATTGTGGGGAAAACCACAATAGCTAGGAAAGATACTGTTTGAAAAATTTTACTACTTTTCCATTAGATGAAATATTAATGTACTAAAAAGGAGATTTAGGAAAGTTTTATTTAAAATAAAAATATTGGGCCGGGAAGATGGCTCAGTAGAATAACGCAGGAGCCTGAGTTCAATCTCTTGTTCCGAATAAAACAAAATAAAATATAACATTGAAAATAAATTAAGCTGACTCTGGCAGGTAAGGTAAAAAGATGTGGATTGCACACTCAGTACATAACATGATCATTTGATTAATTTGCATGGAGTACGATATGATTTGTGTTCTAGTTACTAATGAGTAAAATAATTGTGAGCTGTGTGGTTTTTATTTTTACTAACATATATAAGACAGGCAAAGTTCATTCTGTTGTGGGAAAAAAATAGTCAACATATTGCTTTGGTTTTATTTTTTATGTTAAGTACATGATGAAAATAAACTTTAAATTCTAGTAGGAAACATTTGTTTTTAAAATTGATGGTAGAAAATCAAAATTTGTAAGTATATTTTTTAATGTATTCTCATCTAATGTTTATTTTGAAACAGGCAAGGAAGCTGGATGTATATTTTGAATATGAAGAAAAGATAATGAGCAAAACTACTCTGGATAAATCTCTTCTAGACATAATATCAGACCCTGATGGTATGTACTGTAAATGTGAAGTTGACATAGGTATCGCATCCCAGGAGTGCTCATTTTCAATGTGGTTTGTTTGTTTGTTTGTTTGTTTGTTTGTGGAACCGGGGATTGAACTCAGACCACTGCGCTTGCCAGGCAAGCACTTATTCTACTGAGCTATCTCCCCAGCCCAAAATATTTTGCAACATTGAAATTCCTTAAGTGGAGAATTATTTACATTTGATTTCACTAAACTTTACTCTGATAGTATGTTAAAGCATTTTTTAATACTCATTGTTTAACATAATGAATCTAAAGTTCAGGGTCTTCCCTTTTCAAGAAGCTTTAAAGAAATAACATTCAAATACTCTGACAGACCAAAGGTCCAGTAACTTGACTTTGCTTAACATAAATTTTGATATAAAACATGATCTGGATTTAATGGTGGATACATATATCAAACTATATACAACTAAATCAGAGCTTCCTACAGTTAATTCAGAAACTGTTGAAAATACCTAAGAGACTTTTAAAATAGGCTTTCTCATGTATTTGCTATTTGTAAGAAAAGCCGTAAGGAGTGTGTAGGCTGCCTAATCACTGAACATGGTAGACCATATGCCTGTCATTTAATATGTTAGCCATTTGATAATCCATATTTAAGTGGCTGCTCTCATGCTTCTGAGATCTGTTTACCAGAAGACAGCATTGGGAGTGCCACACCTCACTTGGCATGACCTCTGCTGGTGGCACTCGGAAATTGTTTTAAGTCATTTTAGACAGCACACTTAACTGTCACTGTGGATCCCATGTCAGATATTGAATTGTCAGTTTTTGAAAAAAATGAATTTTGAGGTGGTGTGGGAGAAGTGCATTTTATAAAATGTTATGGTGAACCCCATCATTGACCTGTGATTAGTAGTTTTAAGTGTGTTATTAAAAATCTTTAATGGACAGCTAAGGGAATTACTAGAGAAAAGTTTGTGAGCTCACCAGATTTCAGTGTGGATTTTGTTTTTATGAAATGAATCTAAAAGAAGAGGTTACAGTTTGAATGGAAAAGCTTGCCACTGTACTCCACATCTGGTTGTTGCTGTTTGCATTCCTTTGTCGAGCCTATATCTTCTTAAGCTTCTTAGCAGGTAAATGTCAAACACTTCTGCTTCATGGTCCATATGGAATCAGAGGCCATCATGCAGGCAACTGAATTGTCTGTTTTCTTCCGTCTTTTTCCACGACTCTATCTACTGCCTCATCTTGATTTATAAACAAAAATCTGGAAAACCTACAAAATGAATGTTTTGTGGTTTATCTAGAAATAATGCAGAAGATATTGCTGTTATTTTTGGTGAAGAAAATTTTGTATAGTTTATTTCAATCTAAATAAAATGTGAATTTTGTTTAAAAAAAAAGAAAGGAAATAACATTCAACAGTTTGTCTAATAATGTTTTCCAACTACTCTGGTTTACCCCAGAGTGTTTCCTAAAAATAAGTATCTAGAACTAAGTTATATATTACATATCTAGGAAATGCACTTTTAAAATTTATTCATAAATACATAAAATTTTCTTAAAGCAAAATGTATTTGTAATTAGAAATATAATTATAGCTTTTAATGACAGTGATAGTAGGATCTATATAGTGGTTAAGTCTCTTAAATTAGGAATCATTTCAGAATACTTTTGAATGGAAATCTCATTTTTCCAACATGAAATTCCCAGGACCCATTTTGTGTATAAGCTGTTCAGCTTGAAGCAGGATAACTACAGCCAACATTTTCTGGCTAGAACACAAAAAAGGAAATGGAAAAGTACCAGGGAGCTTGTGGAGAGAGGAAGGAACTCAGGAAAGCACCTGCATAAAGTTGTTTATGAATTCCTTGGCTCATCAGTGAACTGCATGTGCATAAATCTGATCCTTAAGAACATTCCAGAGACTGACATTAAGGTCTAAACCACTTCCCAGTTCCCAGATCTTTGACTAGGCAGTGGGCTAGGTCCCAGTAGCACTACAATAGGGTTTGAAAATGGAATTGACAGAATAAAACAAAATTGTTGGCATTCTCCTAGGATTATGCAAAACCTTGAGTCTTATAACCTCATATTCAAAATATTCTGAATATAATATTTATTTATAAACATAAGGACTTGGGAGAACCTGTTGTTCATATTTATTTTACCATACTTACAGAGAAAGGGTAAATTGAATGTCTGGGTTCCAAGTCATATGAAAATTAATAGTTTACTAGTCATGTTTCAAAAAACATTTCTTCACTTTATTCTGTAATATATATAATAATTTGGCATCTTTATTCTTTAGGACTTTGGAGTGAGGGCGAATAGTTTTACTTGTTCAGATCAGTGCTTTATTAGTTTCCACCAAAGTGCATCCCATAGAAGTAAGAAAGAATAAATGAGTTTCTCTAGATAGTTTGGGCTTTGGGTAATGGAAATAGTAGCTCAAAGCACTTACTACAAGAAGTTTCCCTGAATTTTAAAATATGAAGCAAATATTTTATGTAAAAGAGTGGTTTTCCCAAACTTTTTAGCAATGGTAAGACAGTTCAGAAAGAGAGGGCATGTACTTAGGGGCTGTAGTTTGGGACTAGGACTAGCGCTGTCGGCTTATTTGGACAATTTGGCCAGCAGATTTCATAACCCTACACCTAGGGGGACCATACAGCTGATTCCTCAGACATTCCTGTTTTGGTCACCACTTGTCCTTAGGTAATAGTGACCAACAGCTATTTGTCATCTTAAACGTGTCCTATTTCAGAATTATCATTGCCCTACCCCATATCCTTTCTTTGGAGTTTATATCCAAAAGCTAAATATTAATGTTCTAGACAGTTTGTATGGTGGAACAGAGGTGTTTCCATAATCACAGCCCTCTACTCTTGTATGTAATCTTTTTTCATATTTGTATATTATTATAATTGCAGTACTTACCTATTAAATCAAGAACTATTATTTTGTTTTGTCACATTTAAAATATTCCTTGAATTTTAATGAACTTGGAAATGTTAACTACAGTGTATAATAACCACAATTATGAGAGGGTTTTTTAATGCTTTCTCCTATACAGCAGGAACTCCGGAAGACAAAATGAGGCTGTTTCTTATCTATTACATAAGCACACAGCAAGCACCTTCTGAGGTATGAGCACTATAGAATTATTCAGAAGTTAAAAGTGAAAAATTACTATGGCTAAATGTCTACTTCATTCCCATGTTTAAAAGAAAAATCATTTGTTAAGGCTAGTTGTATTTACTGCTGAGTTTTATAGCAATATTTATTTTCACCAGGGGAAACTGTCTACTCAAGAAATGTCTGACCACTTTTAAATTGTTGGAATCTGAACTGAATTCAAGTGGCCAAAATTCTTATTTCTGGAAAATAACTATTCTAAACTAAGTTAACCACATTTGCTAAGACTTTTTGAAAGGTTGGTCTTATCGATTTAACATTGTTTGAAAAGTAATGTTCACTATAGAAAGTATCCTCTGTTGGTTGTTCTGTAAAGGAAAGTGATGTTTTTTTGTATCGGATTGCATTTTTAACTTTTAGCTCAGTATAATTTAGTAGATAATCATCTAGAATAGCTTAGATGTTTTAAGTCCTTTTCTTTGTTGATAGCAGTTACTTTTTTAGAAGTCTGCTAATATTGTAAGGTTTTGTTTGTCAAAAATCTTGGGCAGGTTAAAATAGCAAACTAAATGTTAAGTATCTGCCTCAGGGCATTCATTCTGCTTTACTGTTGGTACATATCCATTTCTTGACTTAATTCAGTCAGAATGTATGGTTTTCGTTTTTAGAAATATTTCTTTTATCAATGAAGTTTTACTTATATTTGGAAATTCTAATAGGCTATGTATATAATATTCTATGAATATGATTTTAAAATTTACTATTCCCTTAATGTAACCACATTATGTTCATTTATTTTTGGTAATATGTCTGTTCATAAACTTCAGAGAAGGCTAAGAAGTATGAAGCACATTATGACTAACCACAGATTAGTAGCCCTAAAAATACAAAGTAGTGAAAATCACCAGTTGATGGAAACTTTACACTTTCCCTCTTACACATTTACATAGTGGAGCCACTAAGAGAATGGGATTCTTTAACTTACACAAATTCATCAAGATGTACTCATCAGGAAATTTTATAAATAAGGAAAAGAGAAAAAAATCAATTTAAAAAGCATAGGACATTTGATCTCCAGTGTCACCAAAAATAAACTCACACAAGTATGGGCCAGCTATTGTTCAGTTTAACAAATGTAGACCCCTACACAAAACAGTAGTGAAACTGTGGTTCTTGCAGTTCATGTCATTCTCCTGATAATACTGGGTTTGGGGGGAGGGGGTATCTTTTTGAGACAGTATTGCTGGCTAGTCTTGAACTCGCATCAGTCTTCCTGCCTCAGCCTCCCAAGTGCTGGGATTACGGGTGTGTGCCACCACAGTTGGCTTAATATTGGTTATTAAATATTCTTGCCTAAACCAAGTATTTGGTATTTCTCAAAAAAAAAAAAATCATAGTGTTTCAGCAGTAGAGTAAAAACTAGCTATTTAAGGGATGACAAAGTACTAGTCTTTTAAGGTAATTTTGGAGCCCATTAAAAAATAATGTGTAACATATGTGATTTTTGTTTCAGATCCTCCCTTGGGTAGTCATTTAAGATACAACTTCATCTAGTTGGGTACCTAGAACTAAAATTCATGCCTTTAATATAACTTTTTGATTAATCAAAGGACAACTTTATGAAAGTTTAATTTTTTTGTCATTTAGTTCTTTTCTTATTTCAGGCTGATTTGGAGCAATATAAAAAAGCTTTAACAGATGCAGGATGCAACCTTAATCCTTTACAATATATCAAACAATGGAAGTAAGTTTTTTTTTCTTTAATTCCTGTTATTTAAGATAAGGGCACAATTGAAGTTTTGTTCCCCAAAAAATGAAATGCTAATAAGGAAATTGAACAGTGGAAGGGTGTATTTCTATATACAGTGGCAAAAATTTGTCCTTATCTGGCCCACCCTATGTACAGTATAAAATTACATTAAACTATGATGCCTTTCTTTCTTACACAAGTTTTATATTTTTTCCACTGATAATGGGAAAAAGTTAAATCATGAACTGTTTTGGATCAGATGTCTAAAAGGCCTTACAAAGAAATTTTGATTTCCTTATTCATTGGATAAATGTATATTAGTATAATGCCAAAATTTAAAATATACTGTCCCAAGAAAACAAAAATTAATTGGTACATTTATAACCTGTTATTATAAAGTATAAATTTTCTAGATAATATATAAGAAGTTTCTTCAAAATAGCTTTGACACACAAGATGCAGAATAGCCAAAACAGTCCTGAACAAAAACAACAGTGCTAGATGAATCACAGTATCTGATTTCAAAATATATACAAAACCATAGTATCAAAAACAGCATGGTGAAGTTTTGAAAACTCACTTTACTATCTAACAATAAGATTAGCAAATACCTAGCAATTAAAATTGACCAATAAATTGTAGCATTCTACTTAAAAGTAGAATATAAATGAATAATTAAAACTTATGGTACAGGGCCAGGGATGTAGCTCAGTGGAGTAAGTGCTTGTCTGGCTAGCATGAGGTCCTGAGTTTGATCCCCAGTACCAAAAAAAAAAAAAAAAAGCCAAAACTTAGGTTGCAGAAATCTTACCTAATGACATTGGGAAATGTCCATGTTATTTGTTAAGGAGAAAAAAATTATTTATGACATGATTTGATATATACTGTTAGCTCTCCATATCCCAGGTTCCAAGTCCACAGAATGAAAATATTCAAGAAAAAAAAAAACTGCTGAAAATCTACAGACCTTGTTCATTGTTGTTATGCCCAGACATTTCAGTATAACAATCATTTATTACAGCATTTATCTTGTATTGCATATTATAGATAATCTAGAGATTATTTAACGTGCTATATAGAAAGATGTGCATGAGTTATATGCAGACCAGCCCTTTGCAAAAGGGCCTGGAGCACCCATAGAATTTTGTATTCTTGAGTTATCCAGGACTAATCCCCTGTGATGCTGTGGCTTCACTGTGTTTTCTGATAGTGAGCATGATAAGCTAGAACCCCACTGTCACTGAATTTGTATCTGTGGTGAAGGATCAATTAGGTAACAAAATGGTATTAAACCATATTAAATGACATTAAGCCATATTAAATGATATAAATAGAATAAAACTGAATGATTCAAAACTTAACAGTGATGATAGCTCAATTTGTTTGAATGTCACTTTTTACACTCTGAGCCCTATTTATCCACTCTGTGCACATGTGGGCATGTGAGAGTACATGTGTGCACCTTTTATTGCATAGCTAAAGTGACCTATACCATGTGCTGATCACTTCCTTCTCACTAGGACATGATACCCAACACCCCGCAACCTGAAGGAGTACGGGCCTATTTGGCTCACAGCTTCTGTGGGTTCAGTCCAGAGCTGGCCGGCAGCAAGGCAGAAGTATATGGTATAGGGCCTGGCCGGGCGGGGGGGGTGGGGGGGGACACTGGCTCATCCTGTGGCATCCAGGAAGCAGAGAGGAAGGAATGGCCAGAGACCAGAATTCACCCTTCTGGGTCAGGCCCACAGGTGACCTACATCTGACCAGGCGCCACCTCCCAACAGCACATTCCACTACTGAATTTATCAGTGGGTTAATCCACTGATGAGTATAGCACTCCCAAGAACCAGCCCATTCTAACTACATAACACTCTTGTGGGCTTTTCAGATCTAAACCATCATACAGCTCAATGTTAACAGTGGGTAACTTCAAGTGCTAGACTCCCCACATTGGACCAGTTTTATTTTCCAAATTTTCTAAACTAAACATTACCTTTGCAATAATATTTAAATACAGGGGCTAGGGAGATAGCTCAGTAGAATAAGCACTTGCCTGGCAAGCGCAAGGGCCTGATTTCAATCCCCGGTACCAAAAAAAAAAAAAAAAAAAAAAAAATTTAAATAGAGTTTTCAAAACTACAAGCTTCTGATCTCAACTGTCAAAAAATAAATAGCTGGAGAAATGCACTAAATTGTTAATAGTGACTATGTGAAAAGTGCATTTTAGTGCTTCTTATCTATACTTTTTTCAAGTAGCAACAAACCTTTGTTTAAAAAAATTGAAAACAAGCTGGGGAGATAGTTTGGCGGTTAAGCACCTGCCTGGCAAGCACAAGGACCCAGGTTCGATCCTCAGTACTGCATACTGTGCCCGTCCTGCACTGTGCCAGCCACTGAAACTGGGTGGCTGTAATCCCAGTGCTGGGGAGGCTGAGACAGGAGAATCACTACAAGTCTGAGCTGCGTAGTGAGACCCTATACCAAATAAATAAATTAAATAAATAAAAATTGAAAACCGTCTTTTCCAGATTTTATGATGCACAGATTTATACATTTGGCTATGTGTTAGTGTCCCTTTTTTAAATATTATTTATGTGGAATTCCTTAAATCATAAATCAATATTTGGAATTATCAGGGAAAGAAACCTTGGCGATTACTTTACAAAAACTAGATATTTAACATAAATTAGACATTTACGGGGCTGGTGAGATGGCTCAGTGGTCTAAAGCACCTACTTAGAACAAGCTAAGCAAAAACACAGCGACCGCAGTTCAATCCCCAGCACCACATGCCAGCCAGCCCCGTCCCCTGGTGGGCTGAGCTGGCCACACACACACACACACACACTAAATAAATTAATTAATTAATTTTTAAAAAAAAATGGGCGGCTAGTCATGACATGCCAGTTACTGCTAAGATGTCTCTTGGGTAGGTGGATGTTCAAGAAGAAGGGGGTGGTGAATGAAAGCAAAAGACAGGAAAAGGAATATTGTGGGACTGTCCTGCTTCAAGGTTGTATATGGTGAGATTTTTGGACTTATGTGCAAACATGAGAAGCATAGAATTCTTTATCCTATTTTTTAAAATATAATCTAATTTTTAAATGTTTTTTATCATATTATGTAGGGACTTAAAGTTCAACATATCAATACTTGATGAAAAATACCTGTTCCTTATTATGCCTAAGATGTTTGAAATGCAGTGAGATAGTGAGGTTAAGATTGATAGCCTAAATCATTTGATAATAACAATAAGCTTTTCTTCTGGATGGGTAACAACCTAAGTTTGCAGACCAAAATTAGAGAAAAAGGAGGGCTACAAGGAAAGCCAACTTTTTGGCCCTAGCCTTCTAAGGTCAATTAAGACTCAGGACATATGAGAACTTGTACTGTAACGTCATGTACCTCGGTAGTGTCCCAAATTTTCTGATCAAGAAGATTATGGGGCCAAAGAGGAAAGTGATCGATGACATAGAGTGGGCCTAAGGAGAGTCACATGGGGAGAAGACACTCTCTCAGGCTTTCACAGAGAGCACATTGGCCAAGCAATGGTCGTGACTCACCCACATGGCTGCACTGATAAAGGTTCTACAATCTGAGGTACAGGATCTCAGGACAAATCCGGAGGGCATTTCATTGACCTTCTCAGACCAAAAAGCTACAACTCTTGTTGCACAGGTCCTGCTTTACCTTGGTCTTAACCATCCAGTAGAAAAGTATGAAGATGAAATATAAGAAATAAAGCCATGCTATTAAGTTAAGCTGTGGGGGACTCAGGTCAATAATTTCTGACATTGCCAGTTAAACAGAAGACCCAATACTATTATGGGCTACTGGACTCTTTTAGAATATTTTGCTGAGTTAACACAGCTATAATATTCAGTAACGGAACTTAGGAAAAATGGGGTACACCGATGAATGTCCATTTTGTATCTGTGTATTCAAAGTGGTTAGGATAGATATATAGTTGCATTCTCTTAATGAATAGAATGATTTGTTCTAATGGTGTTTGTAAATAGGGTCTCAAGTCCGCATCTTGTACAGCAATTAACCACTAAGAAGAATATATGCAGTGTATTATTTGTTGAAACTGTACTTCCGATTTGATTTGAAACTGTCTCATTGCTATATGTTTATCAGTAAAACTGTAGAAAAAAAATAATAAAAAGAATGCTAAAAAAAATAAAGCAGATAAATATGATAAAAAAAAATTCAATAACGGAACTTAGAAAAAATGAGGTACACCGATGAATGTCCATTTTGTATCTGTGTATTCAAAGTGGTTAGGATAGATATATAGTTGCATTCTCTTAATGAATAGAATGATTTGTTCTAATGGTGTTTGTAAATAGGATCTCAAGTCCGCATCTTGTACAGCAATTAACCACTAAGAAGAATATATGCAGTGTATTATTTGTTGAAACTGTACTTTCGATTTGATTTGAAACTGTCTCATTGCTATCTGTTTATCAATAAAATTTTGAAAAAAATAAATTAATTAATTAATTAATTAAAAAATAAATAAATAAATAAATTAGACATTTACATGTTTATGTAACATTTTTAATAATTATGTGACATTCACTTTTATTTTCATGTATAACAGCCATAGCAGGTCCCTAAAATTTTTGAAAAATATATAAAGTTATAAAGCAAGTAAAATTACACTTGGCCTCTCGCTAGCCATAGACTGCAGGTTACTGTCTCTAAGTTCTCCAGGTTCATTGAATTTACGATCCTCCTTCTCTCAGCCTCCCAGACTACTGGGAGTATAGATATGTACCATCATGCCTCGCTATTATTTTGATTTCTAAATTATATATCTCATATATGGATGTGTCCAAAGATAAGAATATAAACTAACATCCTAACAGTGACCTCGGCGTGTTGGAAACTTCTAGGAGAATTCTCTTATTTTCTAGATTCTGTAGAGAAATGTGAAATTTTTTTTTTTTTCTTTGCGGAAACGGGAATTGAACTCAGGCCCTTGCGCT